ATACCGAGGCTATGAATACTCTCTGACTTAAATCATCAGGCCGTGTCTTTTTCAAGCCTTTTCTCACTTTCAGCCTCAAGGTTCACTGTCTAACTCCTGAAACACTTAACAAACCCTTCAAAAAGCCTCAAATAAAAAGAAAAAGAAGATGAAAAACGAAATATGTACAAGGATAAGCTTAGGGTGTCTCCCAAGAGCACTTTGTTTAACGTCTCTAAGTTTGACTTTTCATACCTTTTCAGGCTGATTCTGGTTCAAGAAGAGGAACTGAGGTAGCTCCCTCTCTTGTTTCTGATGCCAAATAATGTTTTACCCTCTGACCGTTTACCACAAAACCTTGTCCATCTTTTCCTTTTAACACGACAGCTCCATAGGGCCTTACTTCAAGAATTGTGAACGGACCGGACCACCTAGACCTTAGCTTCCCAGGGAACAGCTTAAGTCTTGAGTTAAACAACAGAACTTGGTCCCCTTCTTTGAACTCTCTCTTGTGTATCTTCTTGTCATGGAGCGCCTTGGTCCTTTCCTTGTAGATTTTAGAGCTCTCAAAAGCATCTAAACGATCTCCTCTAGTTCATGAAGCTGTAAAACCCTCTTCTCTTGTGCGGTCTTGATGTCAAAGTTCAGTAGTTTTACTGCCCACAAGGCTTTGTATTCCAACTCAACCGGTAGATGGCAGCTTTTCCCATAAAGCAGGTTAAACGGTGAGGTTCCAATGGGGGTCTTGTACGCGGTTCTATAAGCCCACAAGGCATCATTACGTTTCTTGCTCCAATCCTTCCTAGATGAGCTCACGGTTCTCTCCAAAATCACCTTTATCTGTCGGTTAGAAACCTCCACTTGGCCGCTGGTTTGCGGATGATAAGGGGTGGCCACCTTGTGCTTTACCCCGTGCTTCTTCAAAAGACTCTCAAGAGTCTTGTTGATGAAATGGCTTCCCCCATCACTGATAACTACCCTTGGGACTCCAAATCATGGGAAAATTATACTCTTGAAGAGTTTTATCATCACTTTTGAGTCGTTGGTTGGAGATGCAACCGCTTCAACCCATTTACTCACATAATCCACCGCGACAAGGATATACTGATTCCCATATGAGCTTACAAAGGGACCCATGAAGTCAATGCCCCAACAGTCGAAGACCTCTACTTCAAAGATTGGTTTTTGGGGCATCTCATTCCTCTTGGATATGTTACCGTGCCTTTGACAAGCCTCACACCTCAATACCACATCTTGAGCGTCCTTGAACATAGTCGGCCACCAGAAACCGCTTTGTAAAACCTTGGCAACTGTCTTGAATGCACCTAAGTGACCACCATACGATGAACCGTGACATTCTTGTAGCACCGGATGGATCTCTTCTTCGGCCAAGCATCGCCTATAGAGATGGTCCTTGTTAAGCACGTAAAGATACGGCTCATCCCAATGATATCTCATCACATCTCTAAAGAACTTCTTCCTTTGATAAGTATCAAGATCCGGTGGCTCTAAACCGCAAGACAAGTAGTTCACAAGATCCGCGAACCATGGGAGGCTTCTTTCCTTGATCGTGTTGGCCTCCTCCACTTCTAAGTAGGACCTGACTAGCATGAGATGTTCCTCGGGTAAAGCATCATCAATGGGGACCCGTTCTTCAATCCTCAGCCTTGAGAGATGATCAGCGGCTCCGTTTTCAATCCCCTTCTTGTCAAGTATCTCCATGTCAAATTCTTGGAGCAATAAGACCTATCTCAACAGCCTCGGCTTAGCATCCTTCTTAGCCATCAGATATCTCAAGGCCGCGTGATCTGTGTAAACCGTGACTTTTGATCCCACTAGGTAACTCCTGAATTTGTCGAATGTAAACACAATGGCAAGCATTTCCTTCTCGGTGGTGGCATACTTTTCTTGAGCCGAGTCCAAGGTGCGGCTTGCATAGTAAATCACATGGAGCTTTTTATCTTTCTTTTGCCCCAAGACAGCTCCCACGGCATAGTCAGATGCATCAGTCATTACTTCGAATGGTAAAGACCAATCGGGAGCTTGTACAATCGGTGCACTGATCAAAGCCTCCTTGATTCTCTTACACGCTTCCTCACACTCTTCATCAAAGATAAACTCCACTTCTTTACACAATAGCCTCGTCAAGGGTCTAGCTATTTTGGAGAAATCTTTAATAAACCGCCTATAGAACCCTGCGTGCCCAAGGAAGCTTCTTATTCCTTTTACAGAATTCGGAGCTTGTAGGTTCACCATCACCTCGATCTTAGCCTTGTCCACCTCAATACCCTTCTCTGATACCTTGTGTCCCAAGACAATGCCTTCTTGGACCATGAAATGGCACTTCTCCCAGTTCAAGACAAGTCTATGCTCCTCACATCGCTTTAGAACCTGAGATAGATTAGCAAGACATTCGGAGAAAGAGGAGCCGTATACGGAGAAATCATCCATAAACACCTCCACTTTCTCTTCAATTAGATCAGAGAAAATGTGCATCATACATCTTTGAAAAGTGGCCGGTGCATTACACAGACCGAAAGGCATTCTCCTATAGGCATAAGTGCCATAAGGGCAAGTAAATGTCGTTTTCTCTTGATCTCGGGGGTCTATGGGTATTTGAAAGAACCCCGAGTATCCATCCAGAAAACAAAAAATAAGGATGATTAGCTAGCCGTTCAAGCATTTGATCAATGAATGGTAAAGGAAAATGATCTTTTCTTGATGCAGAATTCAATTTCCTATAGTCAATGCACATGCGATGGCTGGTTATAGTTCTTTGGGCTATGAGTTCATCCTTATCGTTTTTCACCACCGTGATCCCACCTTTCTTGGGCACAACGTGCACAGGAGATACCCACCGAGAGTCAGAGATTGGATATATTATCCCTGCCTCAAGGAGCTTTAGTATCTCCTTCTTAACCACCTCTTTATGATTCGGGTTAAGGCGACGTTGGTGCTCAATAGAGGACATGGCTTGGTCCTCTAGGTGGATCCTGTGGGTGCATATATCAGGAGAGATCCCTCTAATGTCAGCCAAGGAATACCCTATGGCTCTCCTGAATTTTCTTATTTCATTAAGCAATGCACGTTCTTCATGTTCAAGCAAGCTATCGTTTATGATCACAGGAAAGGTGGAGTTTAGACCCAAGAACGCATTGACCTGGAACAGCTTCCTAGGCCTTTTCTTTGTTCTCGTGCGGTTCACCATCGGCCTCGGCACAAGCTGTCACGGCCATGATATTCCGAGGTGTCTCCTCTATGCCCTTGGACCCCTCGTTGTCTAACATGTCGAGGCCACTCTTCCTGAGCTCCAAAAACCTCGCCTCAGCTCCAAGTTCCTTCGGTTGGTCCAAAAGACGCTTGTACACCTCGCTTTCCTTGTTCAAATACCCGTGCTCGCTTTGCTCCCGTGTTAAGACCACTTGTAACGGATCTTCTGAGTTCCATTCCTCTAGGAGCTCATCAGCTAGCTCCTCCATAACTTCCACATAGAAAACCTGACCTCCAATGGTCGGTTTCTTCATCATTTCCTTCACGTTGAACTTCATAGTCTCGGAACCGATGTGTAGTTCAATCATGCCCCCTCTCACATCGATTATGGCTCCTGCGGTTGCTAAGAACGGTCGGCCCAAGATGATAAGGTCTAATGGTTCCTCGTCCATCTCAAGAACTATGAAGTCCGTGGGGATTTCTATCTCACAGATCCTCAAAGGTAAATCCTCAAGCAAACCCACCGGTAATCGAACCGATCTATCAGCTAATACAAGAGAGATCTTGGCCGGCTTGTAGATTTTGTATCCCAATCTCTTGGCCACCGTGTAAGGCATCAAGCTCACAGAAGCTCCTAGGTCACATAAGCAATTTGAGAACTTCAAGTGACCTAAAGCACACGGTAAAGTAAAGCTGCCCGGATCGGATAGCTTTCTTGGTATAGATCTTCTTTGTATTATAGCACTGCACTCATGGCTCAGTATTACCATACCCTGGAGCTCCTTTGTCTTGTTGAGGATCGCGTCCTTTAGAAACTTTCCAAGCTGTGGTATAGCTAAGAAAGCATCTATGATGGGTAGGGTGAGTTGCGTGTTCTCCAAGTGTTTCTCAAAGACAGCCTTGGCTTTGTCTAGGATTTTCTTTTTGAAACGCCCTGGGAATAGTATCTTGGGTTGGTAAGGTGGTGGTGGAACGTAGGGCTTTTCAAGCTCGATTGACTTTTCCACCTCTTTACCTTTGTCTTTAACCGGTTCCTTCTCAAAAACCTCTTCTTTACGAGCATCATCTGAGGCTGCCTCCCCCTCTAATTGCTCATTGGCCTCAATGAGCTTTGTCTTAGGCGTTGGGGCTTGTAATTCTTTACCACTTCTCAATGTGATAGCGTTCACATATTCCTTGGGGTTTGGCTCCGGTTTTCCTGGTAAAGCCGGACCTCTTGATGATGTAGAAGCTTGGTTTTGCTTAAGTTCTCTGATATCTTGCTGCATTGTTGCGTGCTGGCTCTCAACTCTCTGCTGACCCTGTAACAGTTGCTGTAAAATCCCACAGACATCGGTTCCCATCTGATTCTGACCTGTTCTTGAGGGTTAGCTACATTCGGGTTTCTATAAGAGAGGTTTGGGTTATTGTTGAAGTTGTTAAACCGCTGGTACCCTTGCTGATTCCCTATATAGTTCAGCTCCTCTTGGGTTAGACCATCTTCATTAACATTGTCAAAACTTGGCCCGTGCTCATCAAACTCACCTACAAAGTGTATTGGCTTTTGAGTCGCCATTAAAACTTTGTCAAGCTTGCTCTGAAGCTCTCTTATATCCTTCTTCATACGCTGTTCATCACTAGATCCCTCTGAACGGTTTGCCCTATCAAAATCCTCTCCATACGTGTCATTGGACATTGCGAGGTTCTCGACTAGTTCCATTACCTCATTGATCTCTTTCCCAAGAAAGTTTCCGTTTGAAGCTGTATCGAGTTGGTTTCTGATCTTGGGGAGTGCACCTCGGTATAAAGTACTCAAGAGGGATGCCTCTGAGAAGCCGTGGTCTGGGCATTGGTTAGTATAGCTCCTAAACCGTTTTCCAAGCTTCACTAAAGCTCTCGTTGTTGTGTTGCGTGAAACTTGAGATCTGATTCCTGAGCTTAGCCGTGCGTGATGTGGAGAAGAACTTTGATAAGAACGCCAGTTTACACTGCTCCCATGTTTGTATAGAACCCCTCGGGAGGTTCTTTTCCCACTGGTGAGCTTTATCACTGAGGCTGAATGGGAACAAGCGTAGCTTGAAGCTATCTTCTGAAACGCCATTGATCTTGGTCAAGTCGCAAACCCGATCAAACTGATCTAGATGCTCAAGAGGGTCTTCTCCGGCTAGACCGTGAAACTTTGAGTTCTGCACCATATTGAGCAGGGAAGCTTTAACTTCAAGGTTGTTATTTTGAACCGGTGGAGCTTGAATCCCGGCTCTATATTGGTTCGCATTAGCTCGGTCATTTTCTCCAACAAAGACCGGAGGAGGTTGTCTCCGAGCTGGTGGCGGTGGCGGATGAACTTGGTGGGCTTGTTGCTCGTTTCTATTAGCTTGTTGTTGGTTAACATAGGCTTGTTGTTCATTTCTTCCTGCCTGCGCCTGATTAGCCTGAGCCTGGTGCTCGGCTTCTTGAGCCTGTTGCTCGATCCTTTGCTGTTCTGCCATTCCAAGTCTTTCAAAGTGCCGTTCTCTCTCGCGAGCTCGCCTCTCAATCCTGTTGATGTTATTGTCGTATGGTAAAGGCGGTTCTGTGCTGCGAGACCTGGTTTTCATGCACCTGAAATCAAAACAAGAACTTGCAAAAGAGTCAGTAAAACAAAAGAAAGTAAAGTCTTGATCTTATGAACAAATAAGAGAATAATGCTCCTACAAGTTGGCAACGGCGCCAATTGATAACTAAGAGTTTTCACTCTTTAAAGAGGTTATCAATACCCCTGTCCTTGTAGTACAAGGGGTTATCAAACCAAACTTGTAGTGGAGAAACTAATCTATGTTACTTGCGATCTTAAGTCAAGAGAGAATGATAAAGGTTTTTAGCTAAACTAAGTAACAAGTGAATGAGCATAAAAATGAAACAAGAGATGAGATTTAGACTAAGTAAAGATGCGAATGATAAGCAAATGGTTCGGATGATGATAAAATATGATACAGGCAGAAGCTTTAAACAAGATACTTGACTCGGGTGCTTCCAAGCTAAACTAATGGGTTAATGAATCATTTTATCAAGCGATTTCATTTAACTTTGAACTCAAGGCATGTTAATCTTCTCATGAAAGTATTAAACATCTAAACTGATCCTCTTTCATACCAAAATCCCTTTTGAGAAGCATGAATCAGTCAGCAATAAGATTCAGTTCAAAAATGTCATTTAAGAGAACAAACTATAACTCTCGCAATGAAAGACTCTTAAACCCTTAACCGAGTGGTTCAGACATTTCTACAAACACTTTTGATGCGAGATATGTCTCAGATCTGAACCTCAAGTGATGTGCTTGGATCCAGCCTAGAGATCTCGTCGGTTAAGCAATGAAACATGCAAGACTAGACACCTAAACCCATTAATCTATCTTGAAAGCACCCTAATCTACTTATCTAAAGCCGCTTTAACGACTACTCACTGATCATAACGAGCTCACTGAGTCCTTTGCAAGACGTGTAGCTAGTCATGATAAGGAGTTTAATGCTGGATAATAAAAAGAAATAAAGAAAGAACAAGATTCTGATGCAAAAACGAGATATCGGAATAGATTAATCAGGTTTCACAAAAGAGGTAAGTTCTTAAGGCTAAAAGAAGATAAGAGATACGATCCTTAGGTTTTTGGTCCTAAAATGTATTTATAGCAAAGGGAAAGTGTCGCGGGTCAGCCCGGAACAAACCGGGTACTGAGCCGCCTTCTTGGGTTGATGGGTGAGTGCCACGGTGTGTCGGAGAGTGAAGCCGAGGTCTTTATGTCGAGGAGTGCACGTGAGTCAGGATCCAAATGAAGATCTCGTGAAGAACACGTCAAGAACATGCATGAACCCTAGTCTTTGATCCGTCTTCACGTGTGTGTTCTTGAGCCGTCTTGTTCTTGATCCTGGGTTTGTGACAAGGGACCTTGCCATAAAATGTTGCGGGGCTTGGTAGTCGAGGGGTTCGGGAGAACAGAGTCCGGCATGCACGCCGAGGCCATTACACCGAGGTGCACGTTCAACACTTAGTCGTTTCCAGCTTCATTTCTTACGTGTGCATGCCTTGATCCCAACGTGCCGAGGCGTCAGCACGAGGTCTAGTCCAAAGTACTCCCAAGATACGAGCCTTGACTTAAGCAATGCCGAGGCAATGATGCCGCGGCCTGAGAAAATACTTAGCGTGTATCGCAACTCATTTAGGCTCGTATCGACCATATTGCCTTCCGGAGACAGTAACTTTCAACACAAGACTCCAATTGCTCTGAAACCAGTTCCATAGTCAAGATGACTCAATAAAATCGAACTTTGGTGAAGAAATAGTCGGAGCTTGGGAAGTGGAAGGCTTCCTGGATTTCACATCTTTGCGCCGCATTGGATTCACCGGAAAATGAGCTTTTGGACCGATGTGAACTCCGGAGAGCTTATCGTTCAAACCATTGATCCGAATGGAGTGATTCCAAGCGTTCTGCGAAGAGCTTTCACAGATCTCAAACTTTGATGAAGACCGGGCAAGCTAGTTCGGACCGGAAAGGCTCCGTCCATCGTGATCTTTGAAATCCGCTGTTCGGTTCTCGAGTACGCGTAATGCTGGTGCTTCTTCCGGAAGCCGTATCTTTCTCCTCACTGGTCCGAATTGGATGATTTCAACTGTTCCGGGATCTTTGCTTGATTATCTCCAACTTTGATGAAGACCCCGCCAACTGATTCGGACCGGAAGTTCCCCGGATTGCTGATCTTTGAAACACGCGGGTAAGGACAGGTTTTGGTCGAGAAAAGCTTCCCGCGGTAAGGAAAATGACCGAGGGCTATGTACCGCGGTAAGCTTTTTAGCCGTAAAATTCTTCACGCCTCGCCCAAAACTTAACCCATGATGATTTGCACCCGATACTCGTCTTTGGTCGATTTTGGTCGATCGGTAAGGGTTTTTGGCCGATAATGAGCGTTCGGTAAGCTTTTTGGCCGAGGTTTCTGTCCAGCCGGTACGAGTTTTGGCCGAGAAATTCCTCCAAGCGGTTTTTGCCATTTTTGACCCTTTTCTTCACCGTTTTATTTTCTGCTCCTCTTCTTAAGCTCCAAATGGCTCCCAAAGTACCTGATAAAGACTTCAAAACATGCAAAACTCTTTGGGACCTAATGCAAGCCCTAAATCCTATTTTGATGCCTAAAGACTCAATTTACATGGGAAAACACATGATGAGGACTCTAAAATGCACTCTAAATGATGTAAAATATAGACATATCATAGCATGCCCAAGTCGCAGTAGATGAAGAACTTGTCTTGTAAGACTTAAATCGCTTTGTCTTAGCCGCACGCCCAAGTAGGAGTGTTTTGCGAGTCTTGCTGCGGCTTAATCTTCTTCTTCTTCAACTCGCAGGACCAAGGCGGTTTCTGGGGAATGTACAAACCGTGCGAGTTGGTCTCCATTACACTCAGGTCGCAGGCTCAAGTCGGAGTAGATTGCGAGTGATCATGCGGCTTGGTTCTAGTGTCTCCCAGGTAGCATGCCCAAGTCGCAGTATTGTGGACTTAGCAATTTTCTTGCTCGGGAGCCTCAGACCTCATCCATTGATAGCTTACCCGCACTTCTCAACTCGCAGCATCAATTTACAGGCATTCGTCATCAGGCCTGCGAGTTAACCAAGTCGCAAGGCTTTCTCGCAGCATTCAGAGCAGCTTGGATCACTTCGCATTCCGGAGAGTGTAACTTCTAAGATACTTGTCCGAATTGAGTGATTCCGGTTGCAGAGGACAGAGGACTCATATATCGCCAACTTTGGTGAAGGAATCTTCGGTGCTTGGGAAGTGGAAGGCTTCCTGGAGGGCTCATCTTTGCAGTGCATTTACACGATCAGAGAGAGGCGTCTAGACATGTGTCCATTCCGGAGACCGTATCTTCCTGCTCATAGCTCCGAATTGAATTATCTCGGACGTTCTGGAAAGAGGACTCAAGTGTTTCTGATTCTCATGAAGCCCCCGGAAACTGAATCGGCCTGGAAGTGCACCGTCCTTCGCATTCTTCAGAGCTCATCGGCTTGGTCCAAGACGGCAGCGGGACAAGAGTTTTTTCCGACGAGCTTAACTTTTTGCTCACGCGTCCGAATTCCATGATTCCACTTGATCTGTAACCATGATCCAATCGTCTCCAATTTTGATGAAGCCCCCGACAGCTGAATCGGATCATTCAGGAGTATCGGATTGCTCCGGAATGGATGCGAGAGAGGTCTGTCTTCCGGTGACCGTATCTTTCAGCTCAGTGCTCCAAATACCTTTATTCAACCTGTCCTGGGTTCTTGACTCAATTATCTCCAACTTTGCTGAAGACCCTGTAAGCTGAAACTGCCGGCAAGAGCTTCCGGTGACGCGATTTCGGAAATGTATCTGCACCCAGGATTTTTGGCCGAGAGACTTGACCGCGGTACGTGTTTTGGCCGAGAAAGCTACCCGCGGGAAGGATTTTGGCATCTGAATCACATCCTCCACTCCAAATAAACTCCAAAAGCACATGTTTAACACTCCAAAACATGCAAAACTCTCTTGGACCTAATGCAATCTCCTAAGTCCTAAAACAATGCCTAAAGACCTAAAATTCATGCAAATGAGACATGATTTAGACTAGAATATGTACATTAAATGATGCAATTTATGAATATATCACTTGTTTAAAAAAACAACCCTAGGCCTGCAAGCCCATCAAGTTTTTGGCGCCATTTCCGGGGACGATTTTAGTCTCTGGAGGTCTAAACCTGGGAGGTTGAATCCGCAGAAGATTATATATATGTCGAGTTTCTGCCAAAGCAACATATGAAGTAAACCAAATTCATAAACATCCTAACTTTTTATTTTTCTGCTTATTCTTTCTTCTGTGTACCCTAGTTTCAGAAATTTTTGAAGCATGGATCATCCAAGGAGAAACCCTAATCCCTAGCGAAGGTTCTGCGACCTG